ATCTCCCTCTTTGGAGCTCATTTTGAAAGATGAACAAGAGCCTACTGTCATTATTTGAAGACACACAACACCATGGACTTGCTCAGTAAGGCAAAAGTCAAATTCAAAACAGTCATCTGCTATCCACTGTAGAGAGAACGTCTTCTGTTCACAAGTTCTGTTCACAAGGAAGCATTACTGTCAAATAGCGCTTGGAGTGCTTATATTGTCATCCATGTTTCTAAATAAGATACACTTCAAAACAAAGTTACACTTTCTCCTTAACGATGCTTCTTTCAAAACAAACACCACAGCCAAGCGTCCATTATGCCATTGGAAAGACAATGGGATGAGGGGGGTAAATGGAGACTGGTCAATCTAGCGTGTAGTCCTTATGAAAACAAACACCCTTCCTGTGATCCTCAGCTGTTAAGGATTATAACACTGTGAAACAACATTGTCAAAGAGTACCACAGCGTTAAGATCAAGTCCCAGAGTCGTGGCTTGTCAGCAACTGGCACCAAGGAAGCAAGTCACACGGTCCAGCAGCAGTGAGACACGATCCCCTACACTGACGTTCCAGGACTGACAGTCCAGTCTGTTGACATCCACCAGGAATACACACAGTTATCACCTGATACACAAAGGTCAAAGGTAGCCCTTGATAACACAATCCATGTCAGACCAAGGTGCATTCGGTGAGCCAATGTTAAACACTCAAAGTGCAAGATCTTCATTAAATATTATTACATCATCAGTTTCTTTTGGATTCCCTATCCTGGTATGTGTGAATCTTTTGATTGCATCATTCCGTACCTGTCCTACCTACATTTATATCTTCCAACATTCTGTTTATCTTAGTTATAGCTCATTAAAAGTTTAGTGCTAACTAAACTGGTAACAGGTATGTTATGATTAACTAATGAATATTTGTTGGGAAGTAATATCAAATTTTCATATTTTTTGTTTGTTTGTCACCTTACTGCAGTACTCCAGCCATGTGATGGTGATCTTTGAGTTATCAAGTTCAAGGACCTGACAATCCTGTGACTGACTTCATGAGCATTAATCGTTTCTATTACAATATGATGATATGCATCAGACTGACATCACAATACTCGAGTGATGATGTGATACACATCGCTACAGTTGAGTGAAGATGTGATACACATCGCTACAGTCAAGTGAAGATGTGATACACATTGCTACAGTTGAGTGATGATGTGATACACATTGCTACAGTTGAGTGATGATGTGATAACACATTGTTTTTCTTAAGGGATTATGTAATACACATCACTACAGTTGAGTGAAGATGTGATACACATCGCTACAGTTGAGTGATGATGTGATACACATCGCTACAGTTGAGTGATGATGTGATACACATCGCTACAGTTGAGTGATGATGTGATACACATTGCTACAGTTGAGTGATGATGTGATACACATTGTTTTTCTTAAGGGATTATGTGATACACATCACGATACTTATGCCAAGTGTGTAGAAACCCAAGTGTGCAGTTGGCAGGGATGGTAAACCAGATCATTTTGTTTGTGAGTCAAGGGGTACACCGGAAACCTATGTGGAAAGTGATGAACAGCTGGAGGCTCTTAGTGCTTGAAATTATTGCAGTGTTTTAAATCTAACTGGTTCATCAGTTCATCAACATATGGGCACACTTATTTTCACAAACGCACACCTAAATTATCTTATGTGCCCAATGGCATCCTTTGATTCTGGTTTTCTGCAATCAGATGAATACATTGTTTTTGTCTGGCAGATGGTAAAGGCATGTCCAATTAGTTTTCAGCATATTACAAAACACAACAATATTTCAAAAAAATCAATACAGAACTAGAACACTGATTCATTCATGGTATCCTATAATGTACGGTCAGGTTAACTTCACATTGATACAACACTGATAAAAAGATATATAAACATAATCATTTTTATCATGTTTATATCAATGATTTGATCATGGATTGCCAAAACAATTGGATATGACCAATATCATTCTTTTTATTTAATCTTTTTAGTCAATAATCCAAATTCAGAGAATCCAAATTCAGAGAAATTATTTATGGTTTATTAGAAGTTGAATACCGATAAATCATAAAGTGTGAACAAAAACTGAAACAAAATTAAAGTGAAAAACATGTCTAAATCTTTTCTAGCCTGACATAAAAAAACATGAATGTCAGTATTGATAGAAGCCAGCTTAGTTCAGTGATAACAAATAATGTCACTGACATGTCTTACTTGACTCAAAATACAAAAACTGTTGCCATCAATCAGTGCCTCAGGTTAATTACAACATAACCTAATTAGCTTTGTTACACAGTAGCCAGTCTTAACAACCATGACAATGTTAAATAAACAAAACCTGAAGTAAGTACAACAAATCTGCCCCAGACAAACATGACCAGATCGATTTACAGTACTGTCTCCCTTAATCTAACAGCTTACATAAGCATGATAATTGACTTCAAGTAATACTTGGTCATCTTATAGACACCATTATCTTGATGAGCTTAAACCACTACAAATGTTGTTACTAATTAAAGTCTCAGGGCAATTAAAACACCAAGGTTTTAATTAGCATCGATACATATTTACAAAGCAGCCATTCCTAACGACCTTGGCATTGTAATGTTAATTGTTAATGTCCTGACTATTGATTGGGGCCAGTTAACTAAATTACCTTTCCCGAAGACTGTTTGCAATAATAAAGACATCCATTAAAACTCTCTTCCTCATGTCATCAATGTTGCCAAGTGCAAAATAGTCACTGATGCGCTCCAAACTTACTGTCCAAAATACAATAATGATGCCCAACTATATCAACATTTTCAGGCCTTATAAGGCCTCTTCATATGTCAGAACATTACTACTTTCTTGTACACATCAAGTGTAATAAATCCACCTATACTTCATTGTCTGATAACCTCCTAGGCAGTGCATGTGTAAACAAGATGCCAGAGTATGTCAAACTGTAACAACCTTCTGCAAGGAATACAAAATTGAAAAATAATACATATCAACATTTAGGGGTTGATTTAGTGCTTTGTTACTTGCACTGGTCACCTCAATATCAAAAGGTGCAACCTAGTTATTAGTCAAAAGTGCACCATGTGCAAGTCAATTTTTGAGAAATAAATCAATAACAAATCTAAGTATGTGAGTTCATTTTTCTTCTAAACTTTGAATAGCCATGACACCGAAACATTGCCATTTATAGACACTTCTCAGCTCTGACAGCTCTGGGATCAGCTGTGTCTCTATGTTGTACTACGTCACGAAAATATGTTTATGTGCACCAAAACCTCTGTCATTTTAGCACACTACATTGCAACTGGAATTTGGCTTGTGCAACTAGGTTCCTATCTTAGATTGCACCTGGTGCAAGTAGGTTAACATCCCTTAAATCAAGCCCTGACATTGACTAACCATTATTGTTTCATTTAAAGCCACCATCAAACGTGGGTGTATATTTGGTTGGCAGTATAGGGAGGCAATGAATATACATGTATTTTCGCATTTTATTTCTGTTTTAAATTAAAATATCTAAAGTCAGTGACCTTGCTTGGTCACAAACATGAAAATTGAATACTTTTTCTCGGCAACTAAGTAATAAACACAAATTTGGATTGGGAACAATGTTTTCTTGATGGGGTGAGTGAGTATGGCTTCATGCCGCTTTCAGCAATATTCTAACAATATCATGTCTGGGAACACCAGAAATGGGCTTCACACATTGTACACATGTGGGGAACCGAACCCGGGTCTTCAGCATGACGAGCACATGCTTTAACCATTCAGGATACCCCACCGCTCCTATGAGGAACAAGAATTTTAATGTCTTAACGTTTTTCAGCACTCTACTAGTATGTAACAACTTAACTTGTCAGATATTTGTAGGTATGTTTACACTTTCATTTCTTTAAATTCATCTGCTTCAAATGAACTAAAGTTCACAAGAATGCTATATTTAACAGTATTTCAGCAATAGTTTCATTTCAGAATAATTTGAGAGAAAAAATTCAAGTGAAACCGTAAAGAAAGCAGGGCTTGATGTAAGAGATGTTAACCTACTTGCACCAGGTGCAACCTAAGATAACAACCCAGCCAAATTCCAGTTGCACTGCTTTTATTGCAATTGGTAATGTAAGAAATATGCTATTGAATTATTTAGATGTTTTATTCAGAGTTTACCGACTCAAAATTTGAGTTGCACCTGGTGCAAGTTAGACTAATAACTAGGTTGCATTTTATAATATTGGGTTGCACCAGTGCAAGTAACAAAGCACTAAATCGAGCCCTGGAAAGTAATGATCAAAGACTAAGAATATAAAATGTTTCTTGCTGTTTAAGTCACTCTCAGCAATAATCCCGCTATATGACAATCGAGTTTGGACCAGACGCTCCAGTGATCAACAGCATCAGCATCGATCTACGCAAATGGGAAATGATCACATTTGTCAACCAAGTCAACGAGCCTGGCCACCACATCCTGATAGTCACCTCTTATGACAAGCATGGGTTGCTGAAGACCAATTCGAACCCAGATCTTCATGGGTCTGTATTAATAATAATTTAGCAATGATAATAATGGAGATTTCCTGTCTATCGGGGGGTTGGGTAGCCAAGTGGTTAAAGCATCTGCTTGTCAAGCCGAAGACCCGGGTTTGTTTCCCCACATGGGTACAATGTGTGAAGCCCATTCCTGGTGTCCCCCGCTGTGATATTGCTGAAATATTGCTAAAAGCGACATAAAACCATACTCACTCACTCATGTCAATGATTGAAACCCTGATCAACCTCTGCACTGGTGTACAGCGACACTCAGTGAACCAAGTCACAAACAAGTGTTTCTTATTGCCAGGAAACAAGTCGGACCGTCTCAACTAAACAAACACCTGGTATAAGATCAGAAATGTATTAATGGCTTCTGTTCGATTCTGGTTGTGATGTCGTTACCCACCAAAAAAGAACCAATGTCGACATGATGACATACCTGTCTGTGAAGGTAGCTGTGTTGTTGTTGATGACTGGGCTGTCGACATCCACTGGGGGGATTTCCTGAGTCGGGATGTCCTGACCCGTGTCCCCTCCTACTCCTACTGGGATGACAGCAGTAGACGTCATGACGTCACCTTGGCTGGCCTCGTTCTCATCATTTTCCTGCATACATAGCACATGATTGAAAAACCACTGCATTTCCTATATCATATGTACTGTGCAACTTTTGGATTACAATGTTGTTGATAAGAATGATTAAATTCCATTAAACTTAATTTTGCATGTTTCAAAATTGCACAAACCCATTTATCTTGTAATTGGCACAGTAAGTTCTAGGCTGAGGCTATTCTTGTCAGTTTCCTGTCAATGTCATATATTATTGGGTAATGCCAAAAAGCTTTGTAAGTTTGTTATTATTAGGTTATCTGGACTGAAACACTGTTAATGCAACACATTTTCCTCTCTCTACAATAAAGGGCCCATAATTGATAATGTCCAAAATTAAAAAGAAATTTTCTGAAAATTAAAATTGTGTCGTTTTATTCATGCTCCCCTCCCCTCAAAATGATCTCATATAGTGATGGTTGAAATGTTTAGCCTTTAGTTAAGGAAAGTAAGAGTTATATTTTAGCAGTTTGCTACAAACAATTTCACTTAAAACTTCAAATAAGACTGTTGAGGTTAGAAATATTTTTAAGTATCGCCACATTTTTAAAGCAGTTTCTGTGACATTATTCTGCAGAATCATGAGCAACCAAAATAATGCGCATAAATGAACTCAGATAAGGGTGCCTCAATTACTAAAAAACACTAATTACTAAAAAAATATTCTAAACAATTCATTTACTTCGGTATTCAAGACAAAAAGCTTAATCTCTAAATGCCATGAGAGAACCAGAGTCCTGCAGTACTGTGTAGTGCTACAGAAAGTAATCCAGAGGACTAGTGTAATGATAATAATAATAATACTAATATTGCCTATTTATAGTGTGCACAAATCCACGCTCGTAAGTATGCTCATGGCGCGCTACAATTAAAACAATATGTACCTCATGAGTGAGTTATTTATGAGTCATAGAACTGAATGAAAAGGTGCGTTTTGAGATGGCTTTTAAAGGAGCCCAGAGTTGGTGTGAGCTTCAGGTCAAAGGGTAAAGAGTTCCACAAGACCACGGCAGTGTGTGAGAAGGATCTGTGACTGAAGGTCTTAAGCTTGTAGGGAGGTACTGTCAGTAGATTCATGGGCTGGAACATACAGAGTTCACATATGTAAGGAGGAGTCCTAGTGTAAACCTAGTTATGTCTTTTGCTCTTTCTAAATTCCAAATAATATATTGATATAACGATATTTGACAATCAGATATATGATACAGCAATATTCATTTCATGTAAGGGCATTTACTAACATATGAACATGTGTTTGTAAAGTTTGTGAGCTGAATTCAAAAGAAAAGCCATAAATTCATTCATTTTAGAACACCTAAAATTTTATATGATATGCAATAGGATTTTTTTATAATTGGGATAAAATATAATAGGGATAAAATTATCTATATTAACTCAAATGATGGTGTGAGTGATAAGTTAAATTCATCTCATGTAAAATAAAATTTAAACAGAAATCATTATGGTATTGTTTGATAGGGGGTCATGGTAGTCTGGTAGGATGGGTACAGAATTCAAGTCCCGTGGAAGTTTTGTGATGAAAGCAAGACATTGTGTTTTTTGTATTCATCAGACATGCTAGTTAAATAAAAAGTTTGGTTCCAAGCTGAAATATGGTGCAAATAGTACTTTTGAGCACTGTACAAAGTGGTTGTGGAAAAGGTTGCTAAAAGGTCAGAAGGTCATAATTGGAGAGTTGAATATTTAAAGTTTGAGGTTATTAACTTTTTCCAAGTGTGTTTCTCTATTTCATGAAATATTTTATTAAAAGAAAACCCAAAATATATTTTTTTAAATTAAAAAAAATAAATATAATGAACACTCCCTCTCTCAATATGGCAGCTAGCAGACGAATTTAAGCAGATGTAGGTTTTGTGCATTTTGTAAGTATATGATTGCTTCATTTCATCAACTCAACGTAAATCAAGTTATTAAAGAACAGTTCATGTATGAAACAAAAAAGAGATGTTTATTTTTGTTTGGTGAGACTGTCAATAAGGGAGCAGTCCTTATTTCAAAATGTAGTATGTCAATATCAGATTATGATTTATCAATTTCTTATTATTACGCTTGAAATCTTTCTTCTAAAAGCAGAGTTCTTTGAAAATAGATAAGAATATAATGAAATGATGGGGAGAAAACACTATTTTCTGCTTCACACTCTCTCAATTAAATCCCTTGAAATAATTTTCAAGTCATCAGATCGAATAACTTTCTAAAATGGTTATAATCTTTGAGAAAAAACATATACAAATAAATGTGGGGAGAATTTTTTTTATCAGCAGGATAGGAGAAGACACGGTGTCCATATTTAGCTTGTTTGACTTTGGGGATAACAAGAAGGTGTTGATTCCCTGATCTGAGAGATCTAGATGGTGCATAAGCCTGAAGAAGATCTGAGAGTTAGACTGGAGCCGTGTTAGTCATGCACTGGTATGCGAGGCAGGATAGTTTGAAGGAGATTCTTTGTTTTACGGGCAGCCAATGAAGGTCCTTTAGAGTTGGTAGGATGTGCTTTTTTCTGGTGATCTTGGAGGTAATGCGAGCAGCTAAATTCTGTATGCATCGGAGTTGGTCAGTGACACAAGATGGAGATCCGGCCAAAAGGCTGTTAAAGTAGTCCATATGAGATGTGACTAGGCTGAGGCAGAGAGTTTTTGAGGCATCTTTGGTAAGAACGGTCTGGCCTTTGATATTGTGGAGATGGGAGTAGCAAGTTTTAGTAACATACTTAACGTGTTCTGTCATACTTAGATCTTGATCGGTAACAACATCCAGATCGTTGACAGTGGAAGAAAGAGGAATGGTTGCTCCACAGACACACACACTAGTAATGTCACATTGCTTGCGTTTTCCAGCCTGTCCCAAAAGAATGGACTCTGTTTTCTCTTAATTTAATTTCAAGGCATTTGATGACATCCATGAATATCTTCTGGCAACAGTCTGATGTCTGACAGAGAGACGCGTGTCATCTGCGTAGAAGTGGTCAAGATTAAGGTTTGCTACAACAAAGCCAAGTGGAACAGTGTAGAGGGTGAAGATGATCGGACCAAGCACGGATCCTTGAGGGACTCCGCACTCAAGCCAAGATGCGGTTGACACAGACTCACCAACAACAACGGTTTGAGTCCTGTCCTGTAGATAAGATGCCAGCCAGGATAAAGCTGAATCCAAGTTCTGTATCAAGTCTTTTGAGGAGTCTCTGGTGATCAGTCGTGTCAAAGGCACTGCTTAGGCCAAGTAATGTGAGCAGGGCCACTTGTCCTGTGTCAATACCACATCGTAGGTCATTCGGGACCTTCAGCAGGGCCATCTCTGTGCTGTGGTGTGCTCTGCAGGCTGATAGGAACACCTCATAGAGGTTATGCCAGGAAAGGTGGCCCATGAGACGACTGGAGACTGCACGTTCAATGAGTTTGGATATTTATATGCTAAGTTTGAAACAGGCCTGTAGTTTTTGGGATCCTCCTAATCAAGGCTTTATTTCTTCAGATGTAGCCTAAGTAGAGCTGACTTGAGTACACTTGGGGCATAACCAGATGAAGTAGAAGAGTTAATAATCAGCACTAATGTTGGTAAATATCAGTGAAACTATCAATATGAGTAAGAGGCGTGCCATCAAACATTTTTGGAGGAATATCAGCTTCATCCATAGCCGCAGAAGACGAAATCTTGTCATGAATGTTCTTGGATCTTTTTGTAGAAATAATCCGAAAATGTCTGGCTATTACTTCATTGTCATCAGATGTCGGAAGTGTCGATTCAAAGTGTTTACTCAAGATACTGAACAAAAGTTTGAAACTACAACTTTGGACTTGACTCGTTGGCTTCAATCCTAGGTTGAGATGTTAATTTGTCTGATGACCGTTGTTGAGTGATTTTTGGCTGAAATATGCATTTGGAGATGAATCTCCAGGAAGGATTGTTTTCCATCTGCGTTCTGCTTTCCTCTTGTCTTTTATCGCTTGTCGAACTTCAGGTGTGAAGTCCCAAGCAGATGTTTTAGTGACTAGTATGACTCTGTCCTTCACTTGTGCATGTTTGTCTATATAGCAGCTCAGATAGAACTCTATTGTATAGCAGAACGAGACTCTCAGCGTCAGACGGTAGCTCAAGTATAAGGTCTGAGTTTAGCAAATTGTCTTTAAAAGTATCCATATCCAGGGAGCACATGTTCCTACAGTGAGTAATCTTCACATTCGGACTGGGTATTGAGAGGTCCAAGCTCACAAATATATGGAAATGGTCAGAGCTGTAGATCCTATACAGGTACACAACTGACACACGCGTCTGAATCACGGGTAACTATCCAGTCCAGAGTGTGTCCAGCTCTGTGGCTTGCCTCTGACACAAGTTGTACACAGTTGTGGACTTCAAGAAGATTAATTATTCGTTTAGTGTCATGTTATCCTTGTTGTCAAAATGGAAATTGAAGTCGCCTACGATGATAATAGCTACTTTGTCAACTTATCCAGTCTGTGCCGAGACGGTGCCGAGCAGTAATTGCTGCCAATGGTGGCCATACAAAGAACTGACTTTGACGCCATCTTGTGGACTCAAGAGAACAGAAACACAACAGTAAAGGCTTTGTCTATAGACGTTTTAATTTTCACCGTTTTACCATTGGGATTACATGAAATAATAGCTCTTAAACTAATGCAAGAAATTCTTCTAAAAAATGGCTTGTGCGTTTCTTTTTTTGAAGAGTTTATTTCTGGGTTGCAGTTTCATGTAAAGACCTCTTCTATAGTTGATAAACAGGGTAAAAAGTATATTCCTTTTTCATATTGTACTAGTTCTATACAAAATATATGCCTTGTGAAGAAATAGGTATTTTATTCATCATTTAAACTTTTAGAGCTAAAAAATGACTCTTTAATGTACATTTAAGACTAAAAATCAAACTAAAAAGATCTGGTGACTTACAGCATATGAGATATATATTCCGTAACCAAATATGCATGGTATTAGATATTAAAACTATTGTTTTGTTCTGA